ACAATCCAATGTTTCAAAGGCATATTAACTCAGACATTATGTTACATGTGAAACAGATGACATATTTATACTTGCATCTGAAGTGGTATTAAGTTCAATTTCATCCTGTAGTAAGAACAATTGAAAAAAGGAAAATAGAATAAAATCAAAAACTTTAAAGTCATATTAACTCAGACATTATTATGTATTACAGTCAAGGGGTGAATTCTGACTTGACTTCATGGACTCAGTAATGTTTCMATTAGTGTCTTCCATTTGCGTCTCATGTCGTGTTTACACGCCCTATGTTATTATTTGTTTAGTATTTTCTCTCTTTTCTTGCAATAATTTTGTTGTATCACTTACCGAAGAAGACTGTGTTGTGGAAACGTCTTTTTGGTTTGTAATATCTMTTAATATCTAAAAAATAATTCAATCATAAGCCGAAACAACTACTGCCATGTTGTCGCGAAAAATATCGATTGTGTTCKAACCTTTCTCCTTTCTCGCGCAGATAATGAGCGGGCCTCCATTTCACTTTTCCATATTGTGGGAACAGAATTAACCTTCAGATKCATTTTAGCGCCAGGGACTAGCGGAAGCCGCGTAAAACATTCTTGATGAAAGTGGACGGAACATACACCAAATCTTCCTTTGGGCTCAAATTTCTCGCGGTGGGCGCGTACAAACCTCACCCATTGTTTGCGAATTTGAGCATTTACTGGGCTAATGTGTATTGATATTGAATTGCCCGTTGTAGTGTTTGACTTATTATTGCAGCCTTGGACAACACACCGGGTTGGTGTCATGTTTACGAAAATAAACAACTTCAACAAATCGCAATGTTTCTATAATTTTATTGGGAATGTGAGAAGTGGGTTAACCATATGACGTCACTTCCTCGATACTCCCGACTTGCATTTCGGGTTAACGTAATGGCGGMCGGTTAATGGCGAACGGAAATTTTCAAGAAATAACGGCAAATTTCATCGTGTTTTCCTCGAAGAGCACTCGAAACAACCATGGTAAGTTGATATTTATATCGAAATAGAACGATTTCAAGTGAAAAATGAAAATCTTCGRATCTCATCGTACCCGCACTTTAATTATCATTATATATAAAACAACATGATAAATTAGGTGTGTAACTTGGGTGTATATGTAATGTATACACATCTAGAGAAGATGTTCTTAGATGTGTCATGGCACTATATAATTACAATGTTTCTTTGCCTAGTTAATAAACAAAATAATTTCTTTTTCCTACAGATTGCRTCTGAAACATCCAAACCTAGTAATGGTGTTTGGATGGACAGTAACAGAGACAGACACACTCATCGTTATGAATTACATAAAAGGCAGTGATTTGTCCAAATGCCTAGGTTTCACTCGATCGAAAAAAACAGAGGTGAATATAGACGGATAGGATACTGAATATTGTGTTTTGTCACTAGCTTTAATTGAAGTTGTTAATCCAGACGTTTCGGTCATAATATCACTTTTTGTGTCCTTATGTCTTATTTAGCTCTTAAAACCGCATTACAATGGTTTTGTGCTTTTCAACATTGCCCAGGGGATGGCATACCTCCATGAGAAGGGGGTTATCCACCAAGACTTAAAACCAGCCAATATAATGGTGAGGATAAAGGTTTATACATGAACATTTGGAAAAATAGGATTTTTCTAGGTCCAACAGGAATGGATCCTTCAAGAAAAAAAATGCTTTTCTTATAAAATGTACCGAAACTCAGCATTGTATTAATTCCTTAATTTCTGTTGCAGATTGAAGAGTCTTCAATGCGGAGTGTCATATGTGACTTGGGGGTTGGTAAATTGAAAGATCAAATCGCTACAGTTGCGACCTCACTTCATAGCAGTGCAGGAACTTTGCCATRTCAGCATAAGCATAAGTGCTTAAAATTAATAAATTACAAATTTTTGTGCATCATAGAGTTAACTAGTTCCTTTTCCACTATTTGGTCTCTTAAAGACTAGTTTGTAATGGCAAAGCATTAGTGGTCACAAACAAAGTGAAAACCCCTCACGCATTAGCACAAACACAAGACATCAMAAATTGACCTTGTTTTCTTGTGTTTTGCYAGTTCCCACATTGTTTACACTGTGAAATGATCATCTGCATTTGCTTTGCATTGATGCTTTACGCTATTAAAAACCAGGCTTACATGTAGCTAAGTGGAACCTTTGGTAGAAAACCGTTATGTTATAAAAACTCGCTAAAAAAGTTAACAAGTTGTTTGTAAACATAACATGCATTTGTCAAGTTAATAGTCAGGTATTTACTGTTGAGAAATGCCTGAGCTTCCATTTGGAATGAATGGGGAATGTACACCAAGTCCTGATTGAAGTCAAATTTGTCTACTAGAAACTTCACTTCCCAATCTTGTACAGGCTTGGCCATGTTAGTTCCACCTGCAATATTGCATTGGAATGTAAAACAAAAATTATCTGAAATGAGCAAATCTTGTTTATATTGCCCAATTTAATAATGCTAYAAATCAAAAAAAGATTATTTGGAAATTAGCCCAATTTATTGATATATAGCCTGAATCATAAGGCAAATAAAGGTTTTATATTGTTTAATGACTCATTGCTGTTCAAAAMAAATATTCCATTGTACACATACCTTCTGACTCAGGAAACCCAAAGAGGTCATTTGGAACACCACCTGGTCGGTAAATATTTTTTTCATTGCTTATAACTCTTATAGATCAATTTAAAAATAATTTTTCATCACGTACTTATGTTTATATATGCTGGTAAAAGCTTATTGAATTATTGCTTGCTCTTTACTGCATTCTTTGGTATATAACATTACTAGAATGTACATTTTCATTCTGGTATAACTGAACTAGCTATGCTGAATGCGTAAGGCTGATTTCATTGTATTACTAGGGCACGTAGAAGGTATAGAACAGTTATAGGTTGGATGGGTTTTGACAGTTTGGATTCATGGTAAAGAAGAAGGGAAAAAATTGGCTCTTTCTCCATGTATGCAACACTCAATATACTCTCTCTATTCATTAATGATACTGTAGATACTATAGATACTGTAGATACTGTAGATACTGTGGATACTGTAGATACGGTAGATACTGTAGATACTGTGGATACTGTAGATACTGTAGATACTGTAGATACTATAGGGTACTATTCATGCTAATAAGTGAATGGTAAAAAATGATGTGGTTTGAATAACATCATGCATCATGCATCATAAAGATCGACAGTCCTCGTCCAATCATCAGCTGATCAAGTTTTTATTGCCAACATTAGCCTAATTCTCGTATTCATTCATAGCATTCAACACATCCAACTGGACAACAGCAGAAGAAGATGAAAAGGAGTTAGCCAATGTGGAAGCTAATGTGGAGGCCGAGAATAGAAGTTCTACGACTATAACAGTGGACATCCATGAACCTCCGGCCAAAAAAAAACAAGGATGCAAATAAAAACTAATCAAAAAAACAACAAGATATGTTCTTAATGCCTGCATGGCTTCATGGCTGTCATGGATCATGAACAAGTCTTATTCTTGTTCAGAAAGTTATATTTGATTAATAATTTCATTTCTTTTTTCTATTTTTAGTCTACATTTTTAAAACAAAATTATATTTCAGAATTAAGTGTGTGTATTTCAAGGATATAATGCAGGTCATAAACCATTTTCAATTTGGGTGCCAGCTTTGTATATCTTTTTGAATGGGCTTCTTGTTAATAATCCTTTTGTATTGATTGATTYATCATCAATTTTCTTTGAAAMAAATATATCACGTCAGGTACATAACATGTTGTTGACCAAAGTCACTTACAATTTTTTCATGGACATCCTGAAACATTTTGTATACAAGCTCGTGCAGATGCTAAGATAGAAATGTAGCATGAACTCTTAATTCCAATTTAATTTGACATCAGGTGGTGATGTGCATAAGTTAACAAATCCTTTAAAATAACAGAATATAACATTTCAACAATTGTTCACCATTACTTCTAAACAAATCTAAAAGCAATTTGTAATAATATGTTTTAAGATCAGTAAAGCTGTACAATTAAAAGGTTCAAGAATTTATAACTAATGTTGAGTTTATTGCATGATTTATTGCATTATAGTCCTTGAGCCAAGCCGGCAAATTTTGATTTTCGTAGCACCCCCCTTGGGACAAAGTGAAACTAGTATCAAATGAAAGTACATTTAATATACTTTTATAATTCACATGTTTACATTTTTCAAATTGGAGCACTAGCGAGAAAATTGATGATGTTTTTTGGGGGGGGTAGGGTCGGGAAAAATTTTGCATGTAAAATATCCTGATTCATGCTATGGCCTGCTACTCTAACAAACTTAACCCAAATAAGCTGAAATTTATATCATGTTCTTGATACATCACTAGCTACTAAACTGTCATACTAATCGTGATTTTGAGGTTGTCATGGCAACACAATTCTAATGGGTTTTTGTCTATTTACAATTTTAATGTGATTGTATAACTTCTAAATGTATTTAAATGTCTTGTACCTTTGTATTCAACAAAAAATCACCTAAATATATCTGGTTTGGAAAGCCTGTAACCCTTTTAGCCAAAATCATGTTATAGCCAATATTGAA